CCTATCTATACAAATAAACAAAATTGAAGTGTCTGTTTGTAATGTCAAAATAATAGGTTTTTCATGCTCACACGATTATTTGCACGATACCTATGACTAAAAACCAATTCAAATATTTTTTCTTCAAAACGGCTGGACCGATTTTGATAAAATATTAAAATATTAAATATTACTAACAGGAAGCTGTCGATATAAAGAGTAACTTAGGGTAAATTTGAACTTAAAAAAATTTGAGAGTAAAAACTCTCAAATTTTTTTCCCGATCCGGGAATCGAACCCGAGGCCTCATGGACTGCAGTCGTGTATCGTACTACACCACTAAGGCTGCGCTTTTCAAATTCCAAGCGAACGAAGTCGCGGGTACCATCTAGTCTACATTTAAATTAATAACTACATAGTTTCTAGCTAATAGGGCTACTCTTGAATTGTTTGACGTCCGACCAAATTACACTGGTCGTGGTCACGAGTTGACTGTCTGTGACCAGCCAGTGCCATGTGCACCAACCTATAAAACCTATAATCGGGTTAAGTCTTGTATAAACAAACATTATTTATTTACTACTAGCTTTTGCCTGTGGCTCCGTCTACATGTATATTGGTAGTAGTAGCCTATATCCTTTCCCAAGAATCAAATTATCTCTATGGCAAAATTTAATTAAAATCGGTTCAGCCTTTTAGCTGTAAAAGGGTAACAGTATATATTATTAGCAGAAATTAATTAAGAAAGTAAAGGTGGATTAAAGTTATATGCTTACATACTCACGTATATATTTTTTAATGTAGTTCATTCAATAGGTAATCAAAAAACAGCTTAATTAACTTCTACCTTTCGAGATGGTCGACAGAACTCAGGCCCAAAGGGGGCCCTTATCAATGTCCTTGGGGCTAGGCCTCACAGTCATACAGTGTGTCACTTAAAATGGCTCCTGCTAGGTCGACAAAATTCTCAATATAGTACAATCGTATTTCCATACTATCCATACTAATATTATTAATACGAAAGTGTGTCTCTCTGTCTGTTACCTCTTCACGCTTAAACCGCTTCACCAATTTAGATGCAATTATGTATAGAGATAGTTCAAGTCCCGGGACAGGTCACGGGATAATTTTTATCCCAGAAGTCATCCTTTAAGAGGGTGAAAAGGGGGAATATGGGAAATCAATAACCGCTGAATCTAATTTAGATGAAATTTGATTTTTTAAGGAAGAAAAGCTAATTCTTAATAAATTAATATACATTTAGGTTATTTTTGAACTGATATATTTTGCGTGCACAGTTCAAAAGCAACCCAACATGTTATGCTTCGATCACTGGTTGTTTTATAGTATCGTGTGGCATGTGTATGTCAACTTATGTTTTGACAGCGTTTGTTTCTTTTATTGCCATGTTTTGGACAAATGACACTATTTACAACTTTACATGTGACACTAGGTTGGCCTGTTTAAGGCTGTGCCTAAATCTACGTCTCATAAATAGCTGAATGGACGTGTTCAAACGGCTGAGGTATAAGGTCAGTTGCCGATTTGAAAGAGGGTTTTTTTTTTAACAAAAAGCAAGCACCAGCTATCGCTGGGTGTTACTGAATGTCACCAGTACCTCCAACATAATAAGAGCTAATGTTACACTGTGACTCTTCCATGCTAGTGCCGGCTCCTATTCCACTGTAACTATCATGCCGGATTTCCTGCCATTCCTGTTACCGTGGGAGCCATTCTTCTGCACGAATGGGCCGGCTCGACCGGAGTGATACCACGGCCTAACAGAAAACCGGTGATAAGCAATTCATTCGTTGCCTTTCACGGAATGAGTGAGGTTACCGGAGCCCAAATCCACCGCTGACAAGGGCGGCAACACACTTGTGATTTTTGAGTTGCAGGTGTCCATGGGCGGCGGTTGCCCCCTTATACCATAAAAAAAAGGTAATTCATCATCTTTCACTATCGATATGGGTGGGATTCTCATATACGTCTAATCTACGTTACATATTTATTTGTACATTTATTTTATAATCGGGTTTGAGTTCAGTTACTTTGGACCACGTATTTTTATTTCTATATTACATAAAACACCTTAAATTCTGCTGCATTTTGTCTTAATTACTTCCAAAAATTTAAACATCGCTAATTTTTTCTTACATTATTTCTTAAATCTATGCACAAATTATTTGAAACTGCTGTTTATTATACTACGAATCTATTTGTTTATACTATATTTCTTATGCTGTAGAGGGAGAAGGAATTGGCTCCGGGAACCACACACCCGCTGAAAAGCAACGAGCTTAACACCCAGCTCAACACCGGGTTTTCTGTCAGGCCGTGGTCGTCACTTCGGTCGAGTCGTCTCATTTGTGCCAAAACTAACAATCTAACACACAACGCCATCTAGTTTCAAAATAAGCAGAGCTTGTACTATGAAAGCTAGACTGAGTGATAGAATACTTACATACTTCTTTTTAAAATGTAAATTTATATTGTACATAGAAAACGCCCGAACTCCGAAACAAATATTTGTATGTAGATCATACAAACACTTGGTCCGACCCGGGAATCGAACCCGAGACCTCAGCACAGCTGTCGCATACGCTACCACTGCACCACCGAGGCAATTCTCCCAAGAGGTCTCTCAGATTCTCCATAGGTTAATCTAATCTTGGAATAACACATCTATGGTGACTAATGATTAGAGAGCGTACCTACTCCTTCCTAAAAAGCCGGCAACGCGCTTGTGACTCCAGAGTCCCAGTCGTTCATGGGTGGCAGTAATCCCTTGCCACCAGGTGATCCGGCTGCTCATTCGCCCCCTCTTCCATAAAAAAATATCCAAAAGGATGTCTACTAAAATGATTACAATTTACCACATTCACTTATCTTTACCAAAAAACCTTGGTTTCTACCTATATACATTTGTGTACATATATGTCAAAATAGGTGCTACCAACAGGCCCCTCTTTCCCACTGGTCACACTGGGCACGTGCCCAGGGCCCCTCAATCGATAGGGGCCCAATTCCAGCCAGATCACAAATCGAAAATCAATATTTATCATCGAAAAACATAATTATTTCGAAAAAGCCATTTGTAATGACTGACTACAATACTTTTTTGTCTATTCCAACAAAATAGTGATCAGCTAAGTTCGTAGGAGCCCCATTAAGGTAATTTGCCCAGGGCCTCCAATAGGCTAGAGACGGGCCTGGCTACCAGTCCAAAGTTACGAGATGAACTCGATGAGATTCTATGGTCATTTAATTTCTGATCTAACAAGAGGCCGGCTTCAAGGTCTCTTATAGTTATCATATATTGGTGCTAATTCCTTTGTTCGAAAACTCTCTAAACTAGACTAAAAATCACTAAAAATTAGTTAAGTCTTGTCAAGTACTACGTTTTCAGAATAAGAACCGTTATTTGATAGGACTAAACTAATTTTTAGTGATTTTAAGTTTAGTTTAGACAATTTTCGAACAACAGAATTCGCACCACTGTATTAAACTTTAGCCAAAAAAAGTGTAATCTATACTCCTATTATCAATAACTAATATAGAGCAATCATAAACAAGACAACACACAAACCTCCTTTGGAAGGAGAGGCCTATGTACAGCAGTGGACTATTAAAGGCTGTTGATGATGATGATGATGATGATTGATGAATCATAAACATTTGAAATGGGTTACAAATTTTAAAATGGAGATACAAAAGAAAATATAAACGATCTAACTTATACAAGAAGTTCTATTAATAAAAACATTGATTTTTACGATAGCAAGACAGATAGATGTACAAAAAAAACATTTTTTTAATAAAAAGACAGTTAAATGTCATAGTAAAATATGAACCTTCATAATATACGTCATACGTCACCAAGACTGCCAATAGCTATAGACAATGCGATCATAGAAAAGTATAATAATTCAATATTTTTGATTATCAATGTATATTAATCAATACCAATCATATGTTATAGTCGTAGTATATTAACAAAAATGTTTTGCTTAGCTAGACTGGCGATAGAAACAAAATATTTAGTTTCAGACTAGTATCGCCTTCAGGTGTCATTTTACAACCGATTGTTCTTTCAAGCACACAAAGTCTTTAACACCACTTATTTCTATATCAATATCATCTTTAGTACTATGTTAAGAGAGTTTAATATATGTTTCAAGAGTTAGGTTTGTATGTTTTATGTTATGGAGAGTCTAGAAATTAGTCATAGGTTAAGATTGTCGGCCAATATTTAAAAATACTACTTATTGTTTGTGTAAAAGTATAATAGGGTGAATGTTAGAGCTCGTCTAGAACTGCATCTGTTGGTATTGTCGTAGATACTAAAAAAATTCTCTCACTTAATAACCTAATGTATTTTAAATTAACTATCAAACGGCCGATTTTTTTTACAAAATACTCGATTAACATATTTGATGTCTGTTATAACTTTAAGAAAGTCTGCACTATGTATACAGATATGATATTTAATTTTTGGTAAACTAAATACGTGTGATATTAATAATCTATAATAAATATGTATATACGTGATATTTTAGATTATCAGAAATTTCATAAATCACTGTTTCAAGATATCATATTACTCGTATTGATGAGATTGCAAATCTTAGAAATAAGCGAGGGTCAAGGCCTTCCACATTTATTGCTCTGTTTGATTAAAATTAGCAGATAGTTTATGCAAATTTGATTACTGAATGATTTTGCTTTTTCAAAGGAGGAACGGAGATTTATAATAAAATGAAAAAAAGCTATTGTAGCGTTAGATTACAGCTGCAATGCCTTTCTTCTTTTAAAACATGTAACACAAATCAAAGTGCAAGTAAAGTTTATTATTGTTTTTCTTTTTTGTTACAGATTGTATTCAAAACATCGAAGCTGGACTGCGTCAGTCTTGCCGAGAGTACGGCGGTAGCGTGCCGCAGGGCTCTGCATTAGGTCCAATAGAACTTTAATTTATTGTTTTAATGACGTGATAGTGCATTGAAATTTGTGTTTTCTGGATGTGTCTCCAAAGGGATGAAGACTATGGTGACAATTTAAATGAAGCGGTAAGTCTTTTTTTAATCCCTTTTTTTATTTGTGAAAGTATACATTTAGTTTGGTTCCATTAATATTTGATGAGAAAGTACTATCTCTAAGGATGGAAAATTAAGGAATTAAGAATACAGTTTATTACAATCAATATTGATGTTGCGGTAAAACTGGCGCACACTTTCATTGAAGTGTATGCTACTTTTTACTTTTTTAAACTTAAATATTAAGTAGTTGTGTTGAAGATACAAATACAATAATTTATGTAAATAAAATATTTTTCTTCCTTTCTTTTTTAGTGTATATTTATGGCGTTTTTTGTGTAGCGACTATCTCTTAGTTCAAATATTTAATCGACACTGGTTATTATTAGCAGACATCTTGAAATGTTTTTAGCAGTTGGTCCCAAACAAAAAATTACTGTATATTTCAATATATTTTGTTCTGCTTTGTTATTTATTTTAGCACATGGTATGTTTGTTAGCGTGTGCTTGTGACTTAGAACACGTAACGGTATTGTGAATAAATTAGAAATTTAAATAAACTTATTGATGTATGAGTATTACTGGTTCAAATAAATTCGTGGATTGTTTTAGAAAGTTTTGAAGTATTATATTTTGACAGAATACAAATTAGTAATTTATTCTATTATCCATACTAATATTATAAATGCGAAAGTGTGTCTGTCTGTCTATTACCTCTTCACGCTTAAACCGCTGCACCGATTTAGATGAAAATTGGTATAGAAATAGTTTGAGTACCGGGAAAGGTTATAGAACAGTTCTTATCACAGAAATCATTCTCAATGGGTGTTAAAGGCGGTTGGAAGTTTGTATGGAAAATCAATAACCGCTGAATCGATTTAGATGGAATTTCTTATGGAGATAGTTTGATTTTTGAGGAAGGACATAGGCTATTACTACCGCGATAACCAACATAAACGCGGACGCAGCTGCGGGTAAAAGTTAGTATTGTAATAACTTACCTATAGTTAGTATAACTCCATCAACAGAAATTTCATTAACTTTAATTATGATGTGTAAGGGTACATTATCTCTTTGATACTATGTATGTGCATACAAAAATATATAATTGACTGGCCTGTTGGTTTAGTGGTCGTGGATTCGATTACCGTATTTGGTAACCCAGTACACCCAAATTGTGTGGTGAGCACGATCATTTTGTTCTGTATATTGATGTTATTTACTACAATATGTATGTACGAGTATGTAGAAGTATATAGATAAATACATATATTGTATAGGACTACAATTAAAAATTATAATTCGACAAAATGTGTGCGTTTAGTACGTTTCTGGCCACCCCATGGAGCTAAAGGTGTATGTATGTACATAATTATAACCCATACTATACTATGAATGAGAAAGTGTGTCAGTCTGTTACCTCCTCACGTTTAAAGCGCTAAACCGATTTTTATGAAATTTAGTATAGAGATAGTTCGAGGCCCGGGAAAGGACATAGGATAGTTTTTATCCCAGAAATTATCCTTTAAGGGTGTGAAAAGGGGCGTGGAATTTTGTATTGGAAATCAATAACCGCTAAACCGATTTAAATAAAATTTGGTATGGAGATAAACTGATTCTTGAGGAAGGATATAAGCTTTTTACATAATTTTTCTATAACCAACATACACAAGGGCCGTGGCCAAAATCTAGTATACACATAACTTTGGAACAATGGTATAAAATTGAGGTGTTATCTCAACTCAGACGCCTCATATTAATAACCTTATTGTATTGTATTAATTGTAGGTAATGATTACCTTATAATCATTAATACACACACAATACATACATTGCAGCCCGCAACAAAAAAAGGTAAATATTTTTAGAACAAAACAAAATAAAATTTTAAATATTTCGCCCGTGTGGTGACGGATTAAAAATACAGAATGTCACCGTCGTAACAGCGGACTAAGGGCGCAAACTACGCAGAACAACCGGACTGCAAAGAGTTGAAAAGTTCGACACAAACCTTACATCAACCCGCCTGGCCAGCGTGTTATGGTAAGTCAATACATCCTTTTACTTTTAAAGGCTGTTGATGTGATACAAAAACAAAATAAACGTGGGGTGCTTTTCAAGATATTTTACAATAAAAGAACTTTAATTTTACCAATATCTGTCAAAAAATTATTTTTTCCATGGATTCACCGTGCGGGTGCCGGGTCCATCGCGTTATAGTTGGGGGCAACACATGCGACTTCGACAGTCCCTGGGACTTGCGACCCAGGTTTAGGTTTAGCATCCCACGAATTTTTACGAAAAAATGATTTTGATTTGAACTTTAGTAAACGCTTCCTACTACGCCGAGTGTTGTGGGTTCAAACCCCACATGGGACAACACTTTGTGTGATCCACAAATTGTTGTTGTGAGGCTGGGTGTTCCTTGTGTCCATTTCATGTATGCTTGTAAACTCCCCCGTCACATATTACGACAGGATGTTCCTAATGCGGAAGTTGTCTCTTTTAAGATGAGATGATAAAAAGAAAATTATTTTCTATAGACACATATTTTTCTATTCAATTCGGAGTTTGTTACCAAAACAGATTAAATTTTAGATAAATGTATGGGAGACAATGTAATTTTATGTGTGGCATCCTAGACAGATTACTGTTTTTGGAGATTGCCGCACGATTGGGCAAAGGTGAGGCTCTGTGTAGTGGAAGGATTGGTTGGCGAGTATTAATGAAATAATTTAAATGAAATGTTAATGAGAGATAATGAAATGGTTAAACCACATTGTAGTAATACTATATCAGACAACCGCACGCCGTCTCGGGTACCAGTTGCCGGGGAACCAGGTGTACCCTAGGAAGGAAATCCCTGACACCCCGACGTAGATAGAAAGCCGCTGAAGTCTTCTAAAGTCTTAAATGTCATACTGGGCGACTATACCTAACCATTTAATATAGTTTTCAATGTATAACAAGATACTAAGACATTTTTAAGTGATAAAGTTCCTTAAATTACAAGATTGTCGATAGCAGCGGAATCACACACCACATCAACAGCTTTTAATAGTTCACTGCTGGACATATGCCTCTCCTTAGAAAGGAGGTTTTGGCCTACTATATCACGCTGGCCAGATAGGTTTGTGTCAAGTTTTCCTTCTCTTTGCAGTGCTGGTTGTCTGCGTTAGCTCCCTTAGTCGCCTCTTACGACACCCACGGGATGAATAGGGGTGGTGACACTCCGTATTCTTAATCCGTCACCACACGGTATCGGAATTACAGTCGCGTGCAAAAGCTTATTAATTATCATACTCTCAAATAAATTTTATAGAAATTGCAATTTGCGAATTGAAAACATGATTTCACTCTAACGTCTTCAAAGGGTCTTCTTTTATGAGGCTTCTCTCATCAGATGACTTGCGTATTTTTCGTTCAAAACATATTTTGATGGGCGAAACGTCTCTTATAAAGATTAAAAATATTTTTGAGATATAAAGTGTGTATTTAGGTGATATTGGAAGGTAATTTTGAAATAACCGTGTATTAACTACACAGATGTGATGCGTTTAGGTTGGAATACAATATATTATTTTAGCTAATGTTATATTATTATTAATATTTTTTATCTATGCTAATTTATCTATAATACTTGTAATATATTGTACTAGAATTTGGCCGCGGCTCCGCCCACGTATATGTCGGTTAACGCGGTTAAAAGTAGCCTATATTACTCGCTGATAATGTAGCTTTCCATTGGTGAAAGAATTTTTAAAATCGGTTTAGTCGTTTAGGCTGAAAGCTAACAAATAAACAAACTTACTTTCATATTTATAATCTACGTTTTAATTTAGAAATATAAATAATATGTGGTCCGTTGACGGTAATATTTATGTATAATGCCAAGATGTTGTTACAAATTTTGCATGTACTCTCAATAGGTGGCGTTGTACCTTTTGCCTAAATCACGGTATGGTTTCGTTACCGCGTCGATGTTATATTTAGTTTTTGATTTGAATAAATTATCTTAGTCTTGGAGAATTGGTGTTTTTATACATGGTCCTCACGAGCCGGATACAGCAGTGACACCGGAACGAGATTGAAGCAGCGGAGCCAACTGACAGTGAAGAACGACCGAGGTGACGTGACATCTGACGGCGAAGTTTAGCAGCTAAGTGTGATAAGTGCAATAATTTAGTGTTGTAAAAGGACATTCAAACTGTGAGTACTCTTAATATTAACTTAGAAAAAAATCAGTGAGTTTAGGACTTCTAAAAATTTTAAGTGATTTGTGGTTGAGACGGGGAATCCATGCCGAAATTGACTAAGTCTCAAATTGAATTCCCAAACACTTAGAAAATTTAGCGTTGTGTTTAGTTGAACTTAGAAAAATTTTGAAAGGCAAACACTTAGAAAATTACCAACTGATTTGGCGGAGTTATATCTTAGTAAAATATCTTGGAAATATTTTCGATAATGAATTCCTTAACTAGAATTCAAGCAGATATATATAAGCAAATTGAAAGAGGTTTCCTGAATTTTAAGAAATCTCCTAAGGACAGACTCACTTTTAGTTATTTGGAAACACGGTTAGAATGTCTGGAAAAACAATGGTTGACGTTTGAACAGACACATCTAAAATTAATTACGGAACACAAAAGGGAGGAGTTTGAAGCGTCTGAATACAGTGTAAAGGGTGCCTATGGTGAAACTGAAGACTTGTACACTGATTACAAAATAGCATTAAAGGAGTGTTTGCTTAGAATAAAAGATAAGCCGATGGAAAAGAAAATTGCAGCAGTGTCTGACAAGGAGAATGTTACAGCCAGCGTCAAGCTGCCTAGAATTTCCATACCGACGTTTTCAGGTCATTACTCTGAGTGGACAACATTTCGCGATCTATTTTCGTCCCTCATTCACAACAATAACTCATTGACCAACGTCCAGAAGTTACATTACTTAAAGAGCTATCTTACGGGAGAAGCTGAGCAGCTGTTGCGCCATTTACCTGTTACTAGTGATAATTATCTCACGTGCTGGAATAC